AATAATAAAGAAACATGAGAAAACATGTCGAAACAAAATGCTCTCCAGATAATTTTGGGGTAGTCCCGCATTATATGATAGTTAGCTTGTAGCTAGTCTTTAGAAGTCGGCTGTTTACGTTAATAAATACCAAATTTTGGAACATTTCTTCATTACATTGTTCTTCGTTTACAGTCAGTCTACTAAAGTTAACAAATAAAATCATAATATTAGAGAAACAAGAGAAAATTTGTTGAAATACAATTAATTCTCTCCAGATAATTTTGAGGCACTTCTACATTACATTATAGTTAGCTTGTAGTTAGCATTTAAAAGTCGGTTCTTTACGTTGCCAAATACAAAATTTCGGGACAGCTCTGCATTACATTGTAGTTAGCTTATAGTCAGTCTGTAAAAGTAAACTAGAAGTAAATTTTTCTCGTAGTCGACTACAAAATTGCTGGCAGGGTATTTATGGACCGATTTTGCTGATTTTAAATAGCGATCTTCTCGAAAGCATGTCTAACAGAATTATTGAAGATTCGGATCTCGCCGATATCTGGGGTCCTCTAAAAACTGATTTCAACAAACACACAGACGGACAGACAGACGGACATAGCTTAATCAACTCCGCTACCTATAAGGATCCAGAATATATACTTTATGGGGTCGGAAAATTATATTATAGAAATTACAAACGGAATGACAAACTTATATATACCCTTCTCACGAAGGTGAAGGGTATAATAAGTGCTGGTTCACACAGACAAACTTTTGATTTTGTGTGTGAGAGAATCAAATATCTTGGGAGCACTGATTGGAAAATTCTCAGTAATTGCGTCCAGGAAACTGAGTTTCTGAACATCGGACGATAATACATTTAGTGAATACTATATAAGGGTTTTTTACTAACAAACATTTTCCATGAAAAGGAGCGCACAACAGGCCTGATAGTGGCCTAAGTGTATTTCATCGGACTTGATGTAGTTACATCCTCCTATCAACCTAACCTGGTTTCTTTTCAAAGCATGCACTAACATTCTCTTTTTTTTGGTAAAATTTTCAGAGGTTGTCTCGGATTTAAAAGAAAATAATTTTAATACTAAGCGGAGTTATTTTTATACCTTTCACCTTCGAGGGATGGGTATATCAATTTTCAGAAGACCTTCGGGATCCAAATCTTTAACAATTCTGTCGGACATGCTTTCGAGAAGTTTCCTATTTAAAATCAGCAAATCCATAAATAATGGAGACATGAGCAAAAGAAAAATAAAAACCATTAAAGGTGAAAAATAAGTCTGAAATCGTAGTGGTTAAGAAGAGCTTCGTGGTTTTTTATTTAATAAAGTTTGAATGTTTTTCTATAATAATACAAGTCAAAATTTTATTTTACGTGACTAAGTTTTTGAGCCACGATGTTGAAAATTGGTTATTATTCGGGTTAAACAATGCTAAATTAAATCTAGCTTTCGGAATTTTATAGAACACATTATTTTGAAGGAATATCCCAAATTTAAAGTCAATACGACATATAGAACTCGAAAAATATCACTTCGAAAATGAGAAATATATCGGGGTAAGTAGGTATTTACTAGGGGTTCTAAGCGGGGAAATTTTCCCGGGAAAATTTTATCGGGAATTCCATATAATGTTTTTCATTAAATTTGCGTAAAATATCAGATATTTTTGGGTAATGTTTTGCTTAAACTACAAATTTTGGTGCTAATAAATTCAGTTTCAATAGCCATACTTAAATATTAAAATTTAATTAAATATGTAACAAGGGCTGACTTCCAAAACGTCAGTTGCTTTGTATACGAACAAAGTATAGTGTTTCATAACGCCGCAGTACAAAACATTGACAATACATACTTTTCAAAACGTCATCGATAAGTATTAAAAACGCAGCGAAATGGCAATCATCGCATCAGTTTTAAAGTTGATGCTTGTTGAAATTATTTGCTAGAACTACACAAACAGCTGACTTACTAAAAGCAATATTTTGCCATTGAATACTCAAACGTTTATACCCTGGTGGAGACCATTAAAACTCAACCTTTTATACCCTAGTGGAGACCATTAAACCTCGACTGTTTATACCCTGGTGGAGTCCATTAAAATTCTTCAACTTTATTGGTGGAGTACCATTAAAAACTCAAATTCAGAGTTGTGAAAAATGGATATTCGAAATAAAAACTGGTGGAGACCATTAAAACTCAACCTTTTATACCCTAGTGGAGACCATTAAACCTCGACTGTTTATACCCTGGTGGAGTCCATTAAAATTCTTCAACTTTATTGGTGGAGTACCATTAAAAACTCAAATTCAGAGTTGTGAAAAATGGAAATTCGAAATAAAAAAAAGTTAGAGTGCTATTCGGCTGAGCCGAATCTTAAATACCCTCCACCAACTACTTTTATATTAACACTTTTCTAATTGATCAAATATTTGTAGAAATAAGTTTTCTCATGTCTTGAATAGAAAAAATCCCAAGATTTAAACAGCTTAAATCTATTACAATTACAATTCCATGATTTATTGAACATTACAAACGCCATTTTCACACACAATTTCATTGTATGTGAAAGATTTAAGGATTTTCAAAATACATATATATATATATATATATATATATATATATATATATGTATATATATATATATATATATATATATATATATATATATATATATATATATATATATATATATATATATATATATATATATACATATACATATATATAATTTTGTTCTACACAAATTAATAATGCAACTAGTTAAATACGGTTTTAGGGGCAGGACCTAGTATGGGAGATATGACCAATTATAGACCGATTGTAAAAAAAAACTTTAAGCTAGTTTAAGTGATTTTCCGAAGGGAACCTTGTATGGGACCGACCGCACCCATGTTATGTTTGTATGAATTTTTGTATACAAAACTAATATTTGTGCCAAATTTTGTACCAATAGCTTTATTTGGTAATGAGTATTTGGTAATGAATATTGTGCATTTAAGTGATTTTCTGGAGGGGACCTAGTATGAGAGCTATGACCAAATATGGACCGATCGTAAAACAATTTTATAGTTTAATTTATGTATATAAGAGCAATATTTTTGCTAAATGTATGGATATCAATATTTTGTTATGAGTTATGTGCGTTTAAGTGATTTTCGGGAGGGAACCTTGTATGGGAGTTATGACAAAAAGTTGGACCGATCATGAAAAAATGTTCAAATAACATTTCTGTGTAATGTGCGTTCAAGTGATTTTCGGGAGGGGACCTTGTATGGGAGCTATGACCAATTATGGACCGCTCGGAGAAAAATTTCACAGTAATATTTCTGTGCATATGAGTAATATAGAGCGTGTGCTAAATGATAGCAAAGTTCTATGGGGGATTGTAATTTTGCTATGGTGGGAACATTTTTACATTTTGCTGTGCCAAACGAAATCTTTTTTGATTACATTAAATTTTGACAATTGTCACTAATTTCACAAGAAAATCTGCATTTATTTTAATAAAAGAAACACTTCTATTGATTTTTTATTATTAAAATAAATTTCTACAATCACAAATGTATTATAAACTATAATTATAAAATATTTTATTTTTTGTATTTTCAAATTTTTCTTTTCATTTGTCAAAAATTTATATAGCCCTATGAGCTAGTAAAATTTTATTCAACTCATATCTATCAAACAATTTACTTGAAAATGTAAATTACATTTTCAAGTAAATTGTTACCGATTGGCACACACACATAGTACCAAACTTTATATGGATATCTTAATGTAGTAATGTGTTATGCGCGTATGGGAGCTATGACCAATTATGGTCCGATCCAAAACAACTTTCATAGTAATATTTCTTTGTATATGAGCAATACTTATACCAAATTTTATATGGATATCTTAATTTAGTAATGAATTATTTGCGTTTAAGTTATTTTCGGGAGGGGACCTTGTATGGGAGCTATGTCCAATTATGGACCGATCCAGAAAATTTTTTCTCTGAATGAATTCTATTGACATAAGATTTTAATTTGTAAAACTTTGAATAGATTTCGACATTGTGACGGAAGTTATTAACAAAAAACCCATTTTCCGGAAATATGCACTTTTGTATGGGAGGTATATTAAATTGTGGACCGATTCTGGCAATTTTCAGCAGGAATCAAGCTCTTGTGTAGAAACGAATGTATGGTGATTTTCATGGAATTATCTTGCACAGTTTTCGAGAAAATTACATCAGAATGTGTAAAAAATGCTTATTTTTTCGAGGTTGTTTCAAATTTTGGTTCATAACTTTTCCCGGTGTGAACCGATTTTGCTCATTTTCAATACCAAATTGCCTAGGACAATAATAAATATTTTGGGTGAATTTCGTTAATTTTTGTTGCATAGCTAAATCGACTCAGAATTTCATAAGGTCCAAGAATATATATACTTTGTATATATATGTATATATATATATATTGCAATGTAAAATAAATAAAATATTATTTCATAAAACTAAATATAAATTTTTACCACTTTCTAATAATATAGAAATGTTGAAAACTTAAGAAAAAAATGCAATATTTTTTTAAAAATTTTAGAGTTTATTATGTATTGAAAAATTTTATAAATTTCCCGAGAATTTTTTTTTTTAATCAAATCCCGGGAAATTAGAAACTCTAGTATTTACATAACGTTTTAATACCGTTACCCAAATAATAATACATAAATTGAATACCGATTCCGTGTGTGTGAGAGAAAGAGATGGTTCATATTACTTTTTCTATTTCTCATACATAAATTCAAAAGTTCCCAGAAAAAGTTTCCTTGTGTGAACCGGCACTAATATATTTCTTTTAATAAAAACACTTTTTCCATTTAACCTTAGAATGCAACTTTAAAAGGTCCTTAATTAAGAATTACAATTCCCATAGTAAAGTAACAATACGAGGCTCATATGAAATTATGACTAGTTGTTTTTTTTTTTGTAAAAATATTTTGGCTGTTTATGCGCAATGCGCGCAGTATATAAAAAAAATTAATATCATACTCAAATTCAGTACTAAAATAAAAGTAATCTTATAAAATTCGTTTAAATTAAATATTACACAAAATATCAACGGTCTGGTCTAAACAAAACGGTTTTAAATAATTATGTTAAAATAATTAGCAAAGTGTTTAATAAATGTTTTGAACAAAGCATCGAAATGGAATTAAAATAAAAATATATCGTCCTATTAATCTTTGAATCGAATGAACTAGTATTTATGTATACATTAAGTGCAAATTCAAAACAAATTGAGAACAAAAATTGTGTACATACTATATACATTATAATCAATGTAATAATTACAATATTTTTAAATAATAAAAATAAAAAGGAAACAAAATATTATGAAAAATAAAGATGTACGCATAAATAATTATGAAGTTAATTTAGATAATGTTGAAATGTAAGTAAAATGTATGTCACACATCATTATATTACATATGTATGTACTGTTTGTTGGTATATGTATTAAATTCTATATGTGAGAGTGTGTTACCTCCTACATTCTCTCTATCTCTCTTAGTTGCAATAAAAGGGATATTTTTGTGCTAAGAAATATATACATAGAGAGTGTGGTTTGCGAAAGAGAAAAAAGGATACGAAATAATATTGTGCCGAAATACATAGATATTCTTCATTAAGTTTTTGACCTAAGACAAAAAAATATAAATTATTGGGAAATGTATAGAAGTTTATTTAAAAATAAGTCTTTTAAATCACCATTGATAAAAACGAGTTTCGAAGTGGTATTTATTGTTATTATTTTGTGCATATTGTTTGTTTAAAATTATGTATACATTTGACTTTTGTAAGAGCAAATGACGTTAAAAATGTTTTTTATTTTGCAGAGTTAATGTGAAATATATAAAAATGAAAATATTTAATTGTCTAAATACGATACCAAAAGATGATACTTATCTGATCTTGGGAACTCATAATAATTTGTGGGTTATTTTCTGTAAATCATTTCACCTTTAACAAATTTATAATGTAAGTTGTTTTTCTTTGTCAAACTTTTTGTATGAATATACATATTTTGTAGGTAAGGTGAAGTACATACATACTTACTTCATAAAAACTTATTTTAGGTTTACTAACCAATTTTAGGCAAAATTCACGAAAATCGTATTCATAAACGTCAAATAGCTTCAAATACCTTCAATAAACAATTGATAAATACATATAGAATTTTTTAATGTAGGATCGACCCTTCTTTAAGCCAAAAATAAGTTGATTTAAAAAAAATCTCACATAAAACTTTTTTCGTAAATTTTAGGTTGATAGCGAAAACTAATTACATATGTTTTCTTTTAAAATAAAATCTGATAATTCTAATTTTAAAGTTTACAAATTTGTAAATATAATCCCAGACAAATTTTAAACAATTATATTTTGGGAAAAAACTCAAATCTAAGCATTATTGGATTAATAGAAGAATATTTGACAAAATTCGGATTGGCCAGCACTATTTTTAAGCAATTTGGAAATGCCCGTCTGTCAACCAAATGATGGCAAAATCTTTTTATTTCCCTTTTTAAAAGTTTGTTGGTTAAATATAGTGCCATAAAGCAATTAATTATTTAAATTATATTGATTAGTGTTATACCAATGCAAAATATATTCACCGGTGTTAAAATTAGGCAAATATCAAAGAAATTTATCAATATTTCCAAAAAAATTATTAAAAATTTAAATAAAAATAAGTATAAATAAGAAAATGTGCAATAGTGGTGTTTATTTTGTCGCAAAATATTCTTTATTCGGATACTTTAAAAAGTAAAAAGGATTCATAAAAATTTATTATTATGGATTATTAACCAATTTTAGGCAAAATTAACGAAAATCGTATTCATAAACGTTAAATAGCTTAAAATAAAATAAACTGTTGACAAATATAAGATTTTTATATAAATTTTTTCTCAGATAAACTTTTTTCGTTAATTATAGGTAGCGAATACTAATTATTTTTTCTTAAAAAAACTCAAATCTAGGTATTTTTGGATTAATAGATGAATATTTGACAATATAATAATTGGCCAGCACTATTTTTAGGCAATTTGGAAATGACCGTCTGTCATACAAATGTGGCTATCATTTGGATGACAGACGAGCTTTTCATCATCATTTCATATCATTTATTTCGCCTTTTTCATAGTTTGATGGTTAAATATATTGCCATAAAGTAATTAAGTATGTAAATTATATTGAAATTTATCAATACTTGCAAAAAAATTATCAATAAAAATAAGTAAATGTGCAATAGTGGTGTTATAAATAATATTTTGTAGCAAAATATTCGTTATTCGGATATTTTTAATCAAGGTTGGCAACCGTTATCGCTAAGCTATCGCTAAAATACCTTTTCAGCACTACTAACGTTACCGCATACCAATACCTAAATAAGTCGAAATGCTAAAATATCGTTACCGTTATTCTATAAAAAAAAATACCTAAAAAAGGGAATAAATCTACACTTAATTAATATTGTTAACATAACTACATACATATACTGCAGAATAGACTATACTCTAGAATATAGTCAATAATATAGAAATAGAATTAGATTCTGCAACAGAGTCAGAGCCAATGTATTACGTACATAGATCCATAATTATAAATGATATACAACATGATCGACTTTTCTATAAAGCAAAATCTCTCTACCAAATTGTATAATGATCGGTTCACAATTGATATAAGATCCGAGTCAGAAAATTACTAACGCTTGTTAAAAAAACCAAAATCCGAAAATTACTTTAAAAAGCCATGTTGAAATTCGACACAAAAAAATTTTTTAAGGAACCGAAACCTATGTATATTTATGAAAACTACTTTTATGAGGATCACTCCTACAATATAAATCCCTTACGGAAAATCAGTTTATAACTAATAATTCATTCCAAAAGTTTACCATTACAATTATGGTAGAATTAAAAATATAATCGCTCCTTTAAATTATGGAGATCTTGGTCCATAATCGACCAAATCCTATTCCGAAAATCACCATAACGTTCAATAGATTAATTGTCAATAGCAATAATAGCACCACATCCGAAATTGATTTTTTTCAATTTCGGATGTGGTTCTACATTCTGCATAGCCGAATATAACTCTTAATTAAAAATTATTTGAAATTACCGCTAACACTTTTACAAAGTACACTACCAGTACCGCTAAAATAGCCATACCGAAATATGCCAAAATACCGATAACGCTAAAATACCAATACCGAAATAAGCCAAAATACCGATACCGCTGCCTTATCACCGTTTCAAAACGGTCGCCAACCTTGCTTTTAATAATAAAACTTATGTATATGTTATATTCATACATCTGAACTAAATAAACCTTTATTATGTATATCATAAATATTAAATATAAATATTTATTTTTCTTAAAAGTTCGTTTTTATTGTCAATAATCTATTATAAACAAAAATATAAACTTATGAAAACCGAATCAACGAATATTTTATTCTAATTGTACGCAACACTAACACATAAAATGACCAAATTGTACAGTGCAGCCAAGTTAAACAAAAACAAATAAGAGTGCTATATTCGGCTGTGCCGTATGCCGTAAAAGGAATGCTGCCCTATAAACATCAGGGTGATATTACTCATCAAATTTACTGTGTAGGACCTTACATGAGAGGTAGGGTGAATTATTGACCGATCAACATAAAATTTGTGTTCATTTCAATGAACAAAACACCCATCCCTGATGTCAAACAACACCCACCTCTCAACTGCAGCCAACTTCAGCTTAGGCACACTAAAGCTAGCTGCCGCTTTATTATCGTCACTTCAAATATAATTTTGCAAGTAACAACAAGTGTGTGAGCGCTAAAACAAACCAAGTAAAACAACAACCCCTACAACAGACAGTGAGAACTCAAAGTGTCTTTTAAATACATAAATTACAAAACCTAAACCTAGTGCTAAAACTTAAAACTAGTGGTAAAATATATAACCTGTGTTAAAACCCTAAACCTAAGAATAAATAGTAAAACCCTAAAATAAAATTCTTAATTATCACAGTGAATATCACAGTTAAAAACATGAAACAATATAATAAAACCCTAAACCTAAATTAAAACCCTTAAGCCTAAAAAGAATTGAAAATAAAATAAATACATTAACATTAACCTAAAATTTATTAAATATAAATACTTACCCTATATATTAAATACTTACCCGTTAGAGTTCAATAAACATATGAATTTATAACGTTTGTGAAAAGAAAAAGAAAAGAGTTTTATTTACTTACATGCTACTTAAGATTAATCTATACCCTACCCTTTCTAACCCGTAATAACAATTTGATAAAGAGATTTTGGCTCACATGGAACTTATGTTACTTACGCTATACTCGTATTTTTAAGACAGTAATTAACGTTAAAGTCATTTTCTGAAGGGGACCTTATATGGGCGATAGGGTCATTTATGGACCGCTCCGCATAAAATTTGGTAGAGAGGTTTTGGCTCGTAAGAGACTTACTTATGTAAAATTTCATAGCTATACTCGTATTTTTAAGCTAGTAATGAGGGTTAATGTCATTTTCTGAAGGGAACCTTATATGGGGGTAGGGTCAATTATTGATCACAAAAAACTACCATTAATAATATAAGTATTCATTTTCATATATGTAGATTAGGCTTCGTTTCAAAAAACCCTTTATATGTGATCATACTTAAAATTTTCAGATTTTAAACTTTGCAACTCTATATTACGACAACCACGAAAGTTAGAAGACTCAAACCAAGGCGAATTGACTATAAGGTGAAGTCATTTCATTTTGCGGCGAATTCATGAAATTTTTTATATATGTAGTTTGACAGCGTCGGGTTTGAGAGAGAATTTTTTTTTATATTGAGTTTGACAACTTCGGGCTAAATTTCCATGGACAAAAAAACAATCAGCTGTTGAAATGACTTCACCTTATTACTTTCGCCATGACTCAAACTTTGTCATTACGCAAGTTATAATGGAGATGATGATGAAAAAACCATTGTTTGATGGAAAATTATTAAGTCCTAAACGGATTACAATAAATTAAACATTTTAGCACTATTTTTTGAAGGACATTGAATATTATATTTACGAATGATAAAATCAAGTTTTAATTTTTTTTAATTGCATTTTTTCTTTTTCTCTTATGCATTTATAGTGCATCCAAATTCTGTTAAATTAAGTTTATATATCTTAAATTTGCTGGAGAATTGTATGGCGCAATTTACATGAAGACTTTTCAGACGTCTGTTTTTTCCAATTCTCTTTTGAGAATCTTCCAAAAAATCATGAACATTTATAAGGTGATTTTTTACATGCAACTATTCATGTCGTTTTTGCTGTTTAGTTGTATAATCCTTTTTAATTACTTATTCGTAATAAAAGTAAAATTTAATTTTTAACATAAAAACAATTTAGTTTGATTAAAAATAAATGATAATTTTAATGTTTTTATTAAAAAAAAAACATGTATTTATTTTTTACATGAGTATAATATCAACCGTACGAATAAGTGTAAAGAGGAATCTAAAAAAAATCATGAAAATCCCAAATAATGTTTGTTTTCTTTCCCCCCATTCTTCTCTACCCCGCTCACCAGCAATCATCGACAAACATGAAAACAGACGTCTGAGTAAACATGAAAAAAATCATCGTGTAAATAGGGTGTACATTAAAGTCAGGTTTGAAATATGTTCTGCAGTTTTCGATCTATTAAAAAATGTCGCCCAAAATCAGTGTTTTGGCCGCAGATATGTATGCACAAAGTATATTAATAAAGTAGCGACATCTCTTGTTGTACAACAACATCTACAACAACCACATATATTTTGTTTTTGGAATAATTTAAGAATGTGTCAAAATAAAATTTCCTTGAACAACAATGTGAACAAAACATAAATAAAAAATATTACTTTTAAGTTAAAAATATTAACAATTTAATTATATTATTATATATTATACAATTTATTACACTTTTAAACTACTTTAAAACCACTTTTAATTCACTTTTTCAACTTTTCACAAATTTTAACAAATAGCAAAACACAATTTAAAAATGGCGACGTAAACAATGTTAACAATTTTCAAAACAAACTTTGACAACTTGCTTCATTTATCTAGTTTAAAAAAAATAGTCAGCTGTTCAAGTGATGCTACTTTATTAATATACTTTGTGTATGCAGATGAAGGAGATGGAATTTTAACAAAATAAGTACTCCAGTATTATTACAGATCGAAAAACTTTCAAAAAAAGTCTAATATCACAATTTCAAAAATATCGCGTGAAGCCTAATGTACATATTAAAGGCCTGCACAAGACAACAACAATGCGACAATTTGCTAAAAAACGAAATCTATTTAATTTGGTTAAAACCGATAAAAAATTTTAAATCGTTTGACGAACTTAAGTAATCTGTATACATATATTAAAGTACACAGTACATAGAGGATTTTCTGTTATGCTTATCTCTGTTCACACTTTCATAGTTAATAAATCCTAAAATAAAATTTCCTTGCAGCCAACAGTACAATATTAATTTTATTAATTTACTTAAATTTTCAGTAAGAAGTCTCGATTTTATAAGAAATCAAACTAAAATAAATGTCAATGGAGGTTGCAGATACAATATTTTATTGAGGACTATTGTCAATTAAATGATGTATTCAATTTTACAACATATACGAATACTTCGTGGACTACTGCTTATCATTCCTTTTGTGTGTATTGGTGCATATTCTGGTAAGTCAAATTAGAAAAATCTAATTGGAAATGTTAAAAAAAATATGGATGCAGTTACATCCATATGTGTTTATATTTATGCAAAAATTGGTAAAAAATATATTTTTGACATTTTAAGACCACAAAAATTTAATGTACAGATTTTCGAAGAAAAGTTATAAAGCTACAATGATGGAGTACTCCACTATGGAATGAATTAAAACGAGATAGTCAAATTTAATATACTGTTGATAAAAAAACAAAGAATTTGTTCACATTAAAAATCGCATTAGTGTAAAAAAACACCATAAAAATTGCTACCATTTTACAGAACCTCATGTCAAAATATCGAAAATTTTTATAAAAATTTGTTTATTTTTTTTAATAAATTATTTTGACAATTTTATATTCGAAAAAAATATGCAACAAACAACTGTTTTATAATTTGATATATGTAATGGCTTTTATATTTACAATTTAAAATGTAGTTAATGTATAGTACACTAGAATTACATAAATATTATTTATTTATATTTTAAGATATGGGAAAAAATTCATCACCTCAAAACCTTTTCACAAATGCTGGCCGGTCACAATTCGCAACAAAAAATAATTCACGGGTAGTTGTTCAAAAAGGAGGACTAGCGATTCTTCCTTGTGTTGTAAAATTAAATTCTCCCGCAACGGTAAGTAAATTAAATTTATTAATTTGTAATTTTATTCTACGTTTCGTGACGAATCAGCTGAAAATCTGTGTAAGCCTGTTTGAATTTTTGTATGAAAAACACTTATCAGCTAATTCGTCACGGAACGGAACATTGAAAATAACTGAGCCTATATACTAGATTTATATACATATTTATTTTTGGACGGCAAATACCACAGAAATTAGGGTGTAATAGGAATAAACATTTTTCGATTAATGATTCATCTCATAGTTTGATGAACTAGTTTACTAGTATTCCTTTTTACGTTCTGGTAACCAATAAATAATATTAAGCCACATTTGGTCCCCAAAAAAACAAATTTCAAACGACAAAATTTTTCTTCTAACTTCTAAACTGTCATAGAATCCAATAATTATCGTTATTAGTTTTTAAGGCCACAAAAATGCATAAAGAAATGTAAACAAATTTATTTAAATTAAATATTAAAAAAAGATACTAATTGAAATAGAAAAACATTTCATATAGTGAAATTGGGGTCGAAACGTTGAAAATACTATAATGTAACTGGATAATAATAAGGTAGAACCACTCGATTTCTTACAAAACCTGTTAAAATTTTATTGCTACAGTGGCTCCTACAGTCGACAGACTTAAACCCGATTAAGAATTCATGGTAAAATCGGATTAACAATTACGAACACTCACGTAAAAACACAACAGACCTCTGGGAGAGCTGCCATGAAGTATGGACGTTCATAACGCAAGAAGAGTGTGGCAAACTGATCGAGATTATGGCTTTCAGAGTTGAATTTGCCGTGAACCCAAACAGAAGATACAAAATACTAAAAATTTTGCACTAGAAAATGTTAATTTATAATAAAAATGCTCCTTTAGTACTACGCCCCAAATATGTGTAAATGAGTTAAATTTATTTTTCTGAAGTATAATTAGGTGGATTTTTATTTATTTTAGTTTAAAAATATCTTCAATAAATACAGTTTTAAAAAAACATAAAACTTGTTTAAATATCGTTTTTAGTTTAATAAGTATGACCGAAAGTTTAAATATTTGACCATCATTTACACATTTTTGCCTCACACTGTATGTGCATATATCTTAAATTTAGAGCATTTTTTTAGTTTCCCTGATTTTTTTTTACAAAAATTTCACCTATCACCATTTCAGTGTGAAGACTTGAAGTTCAATAATAATTGTAATACTAATCAAGTATTCAATGTTATATAGTTAAAATGTATTTCAAATATTTTTTCACTTTTTCAATAAATCTTAATACATTATTAGTTTATAAGTTTATTGGTCCAGCAGATCATTGATAGCTTGTCGAATAAATATAATTTTGACATAAATATACTTATTTTAAACATTATACATACATACATTACATACATTACATTAGATTAATTTTAATTTTATTTATCATAAATTAGTTTTTAAAAGAGTTTATTTGTTGTGAAAAATCATAACAAATATTGTCAATCTAGCGTTTTTAAAACAATTTAGGTTGTCTTTCTCTTAACGATGTTGTGTAAATTTTTTATTTTAATAATATGTTAGTATCATGAAGTTTTAAAACAATAATATATTTTTAATGATACTACATGTTTTGTTAACTTTAAATATCCATTTATTTATAGGAAAGAAATCAAAGTTTCAATTATTTGTTTTTAGTGCTTTGTTAGCGATTGAGATTTCAGCAAAATCTTTGTTTATAAACAAAAACTTGCAAATTTTTTTAAAAAATTGGCTTTCGCGTACTTTTTTGGATATTTTTTTGATTGAGAATAAATTAAAAATTACTCTCTATCATTAAGTTACTGGAAAATACACGAAAAGACCTATTATTGTGAGCGAAAGTCAATTTCTTTACGTACATCTTACGTACTTATGATTTTTTAAATTTAAAACTTCAAAAATGGCGCTTTTTACATCTTTTGCTCTTAAAAACTAAGTTAACGAAGTGATCGGGGAAAACTAAAAATATATTCTTACTCTATGGACTCTATGGACAAAACGGAATTGGTATATGAGAACCCCTGCATTTTTTTGGTGTATCACTGTGAAATTATTTACACAAACCAAAATTAACATTTTCTCAGTATTTTTTTATGTCCATCTCACAGTGGTATAGGAAAAAAAAAGAGGGAAATAATTCGGTAACTTCTAAACGGTTAATCCGATTTTAATGAAATTTGGTATGCACAAAAAGGAGGTGTTGTCGAGTTTAGGTTTTGGACCTTATAGGCCAACCAGGGGCCCGGCGGGGGGTCCTCAAATTAGGACACCTCGGCTATGTTAAATTTTTAAAACGATCTTATTTCTTCATTTGAGTTCCGATTTAAAAAAAATTTCGTATATAGAATCTTCTCATCGAGCACTATAAAAAATGTACTATAAAAAATGTGCAGTAAATTATCTCTTATAGTTTAGGAGATATTCGCATTTGAAAATTAAAATTTTAAAATTTTTACCGTCCTTACTTTAGTTTTTTGATAATAGCGGGTCCAAATATTCCCGATTTTCGCCATTTTTTTTTTATTCGCTTAACAACAAGTTTATATATCAAGCAGTGAAAGAATTATGTAAAAATCATGACTGAGTCCAAAGTTATAGGCATTTTAATTTAAAAAATTAAAAAAAGGCGATTTTTTGCCATTTTTTGGGAAAAAAGTATCTTTTTCTTTTTAAGTTATCTAAAAAGTTTCTAAGAAGATGTATATAGAATTTATACTTTTTGAAAAGCTGACTTTACATAAAATACGATAAATGAAACGAAACCTAAAAATTTTTGATACCGAGGGGACCAGATCCATCCAAAAAAACCCTATTTTTTATATAAAATTCAATTTTGAGCAAAAATTCTCAAATCGCATAGTCGATATCAAATTATAGTGACCTGTTTTATATGACCCAATATGTTCTTAATCATTTTGTAACGGGTTTCGATAACCCCGCCCCTGGTATGGATATAATAGGCAAAAAACCAAAAAATCCCATTTTTGGGATTTTTTAAAACTTTTTTGGGAATTCCGGGATTTCTAATAAGAAAATTCGAAATTTTTATTTAATTTTGGATTTTGAGTAAAAAAATCTACCTAACTGTAAAATTTCATCAAAAAATATTCATAAATAAAATTTTTATTGCAATTTGAAAAATTTGTATCTTCGCAAAAACTGAATAAAAAACATTTTTTAATTTTTTTTAAAAAAGTATTCCGCGAATTTTTTAATTTTCAAAAATTATATACAGTTTTGAAAAATAGACAAAATTACCTTTCCATTGATATATAACATGCCTACCTAATGTTTTTTAAGTGACAAATTAATTAGGGAAAACTCAACATCTTTTAGAGAATTTACCTAGTACTATTATTTTCATCCATACATTTGTTAGGCATGTTTTACTACCTAAATTTTTATGAATTTTTACAGCCACTTTTTACGATTAATCTTTTATTCTTTATCCCTAAAAAAAATTAACAAGTATTTATTTTATATAAAAATAGTCTTTATTTATTTTTTTTTATAAATTAATATAATTTTGTAAAATAATCGGTATCACAGTAGTCCATATCTAAAAGATAAAGTAAATATTTAAATTCATTAATATTTTCAAATGCTAACGTTTTGTAGCAAATCCAACGTTTCCTTATAGTAGATAAAACAGGATCAGAAGATAGAATCAGATTATTAAAAATATCTTCATTTTGAGACTGCCTAGAACACTTCCTTGAGCTAAACTGATGAATATGCTTAAAGTCTCTATTCCTCGATTCTTGGGGTTCTTCTGTAAGCTCTCCTAAAGGCAGAATATTATGTTCTATGATGACCTTTCCATGACATAATATCTTGTGAACTGTAGGTGTCATTTCTTTCCAGGGATATAATTCCAAAAGTAATTTAGAAACTTTTGTAGAATACTCTCCAAATTTTGTTGCGTTCACTTTATGCTTGCTATTTATCGCCATTAGAATAATAATGACCTTTTGCAGTAAATCCATACTAATTCCGGTTATTTCGGAAGTAGTTTCAAAATGTTTAAAAAAACGTCTAGCGGTATTACCATCGTTTGTGCTTCCATATCCTGTGAGTGGTTTATCAATATTTAATCCCATCCGCTTTTTAAATTCCTCTTGAATTCTTCGTTTCTCACTGGCTCTCATTTCCATTAACTCCTTATTGTTATTTGCACTTTTGTTTGCATTTTCCGGTATGCTTCTGTACTTTAAATCATATGCTAAATGTAGAAAATGTTCCAGAAATCGTATGCGAGCATGTAGGGGGGATATTCCAAATTGTAATGTTTCCTCATTTATTGATCTTTGCTTGGAAATATTCGAAAATTCTGATTTTTTATCACCACATATGTAGCAGTACCAAGTAGATGATGTTCCTGTAATGGCATTTCCAACTTTCCCATCAATCATTGTAAGTTTTAAATCATAGGACATGTTAAACGAATAATTTTCTATTTCGATTGTTATAGGTTCCAAGTTTTTAATTTCTGCTTCAATACGATTTATCAAATCTTGCGTTGTTGTTTTGGATTCCTTTATATACTCAAAGCTTATTGGCCTACAAAAAGCTTTGGATCCTGGAGTCGAATTCTTCCAAATATCATCGAAACTGGTTGATGGAGAATCGCTGTCAGCATACTTTCGAATTCTTAATGGAACTAGCGATGCCATAAATACACTTTTATACTCGGAAGATGATTCACTTGTGTTGATTTGTTTATATTCCGAGAGTGCTGATAATCCATCACATCCCCACTTACAAATGAGTTGAAGATCACAAGAATTTATTTTTTTTAGTTGGTCTGAAGAAAAGTCAGAAGCAATCCTTAAAGCAGTATTTTCGAGTAGAGCGCCGAGTCCAATAACAGCCTTCCGATCAGTTATTTCAATAGGAGGTGGTATAATGCTTTTCTTCTTTTCATTTATTTTGTCATATGATGGTAAAACATCCACTCCTTTTTCAGATAGCGCCTTTCTTAACGT